CCTCGGCGTCATGCAGTGGCTCATTGTCAAGGTAGGACCTCACACCTGGCTCTAGGATGGTGGTGGAAAGGAGAAGAACCTAGTACGTTCTCTGACTACTATGATTAGCTGAGGGACATCCCAGGAAAATTGGCACGGTACTAATTTGGGGTGATTTGTCCTGCTTAAAAGAATAGACACAAACCCCCTCTTTCTTGCATGTCCTCCTGAGAAAGCCCAGTCCTGGAGCTGATGTTGCTACCTGGTCTGTGGGCACTTCCCGAGATCACCTCTGTGCAGCGTGAGGGTCAAACAGTGCCCAGCTTCATGGGTGGGTGGTAGGGTGCCAGGAGCCTTCGTGGACATGGTGGCCTTGTCTTCCCCCAGATCTCCTGGGTGCTTCAGGTCTCGATGGGCACCACTCCTACTGAGACTCTGAGCGTGGCGGGGAACATTTTTGTGGGACAGGTAAGTTCCTGGGCAGGAGATCCATCTCCTCAGCCCTTGCAGCTGAGCCTGCCCTGGAGGAGGATCTTCTCCTGCCTTCCCAGGAGACCTGCACCCCTGCGTGGCCCTGTCCCAAGGACAACAGGATTTTCTCTCTTGCAGACCGAAGCCCCACTGCTCATCCGCCCGTACCTTGCAGACATGACCCATTCAGAAATCCACGCTGTGATGACCGGTGGCTTTTCCACCATTGCAGGCAGCGTGATGGGTGCCTACATATCCTTTGGGGTGAGTGCACGTGCAGATGTATGCCACATGCTCCCTGCTATGGGGTCCTGACGCGCAAGAACTGCCCTGGATTTGTGGGTGGCAGAAGACCCCAGAAGGTGCCCCGTGATCCCCTTCCATAAGCAGGATGAGGGCAGGGTGCCTCCGTGTCCAGCCTGACCTTCTCTCACCTGGCCAAAACCCCGGAACCCTGCCAGGTAGAAGGCACTGCCGGGGGACCTGCACTGCATGTCCTCGCACAGCAAGCAGGGCAAATCTCACTGAACCACGGGGTAATTTGGCCTGGAAGGACCCTCTGGGGGTCTCTGATCTACCCTTCTGCCCAAATGAGCTGATGGCAAAGCTCAAGGGGATGCCCAAGGCCTTGTCCAGGTTGGTGGTGAACATCCCCATGGACGGAGATCTCCCCTGACCTGTCTGGTCCACCCCACAGACGCCTCAGTCAGGGGGAACAATTTTTTCCTTATATCCAACTGGAATTTCCCCACTGACACTGTGTCATTGCTTCCCACCCTTTCACTGGGCACCTCTGAGCAGTGTCTTCTCTCTATCCTCCTTTTAAGTAGTTGGGAACAGCAACCTCAACCCCTCCCCAGCCTTCTTTTCTCCCAGCCAAACAAGTCCCGCTCCTCCAGCATCACCTTGGTGGTCCCGTGCCCCGACTTCCCCGGGGATGCCCTCTCCAGTTCATCAGTGTCTCAGCCCTGGACACGGTGTGCAGGCTCATCAGTGCTCCATAACGGGGAATAAACCTTCCCCATGACCTGCTGGCTGAGCTCCAGCTATTTAAACATTAATTAGCGTCCTTAAATGGGGAGCCAAGGGTGAAAGGTCAGAGAAATGAGACGTTGCCACTCGGCAAGCAGGGGAGGGGTGAGGTGGGGAGCTTGGCTCTTTGTCAGCGCGGGCAAGTTCACGGTGTTGCACAACCTGTTGCTCTGATACTGATCAGAAGGGACAAGGAAGGGACAAGAATCAAAATTAGGTCAAACAGCAGGAGAGATTAACATCTACAAGGCCGTGATCACTGCGGCTCCAGCAATGCCTCTGTCCAGGCATCCATCCCTACGTGCCGTGGCTGGCTAAGATGGGAAAAACAGAGACATTTTTCCCTCCCTGAGCAAACGGAGAGCCCTGAACTGCTCCGAGCGTTGCTGGTTGATGCCAGCCGTGTGCTGGGACACCCTGGGGTGGCACGTCATGGGGCGCAGCCTTGCACAAGGCGCCTAAGCCCACGTTCTGCGCATTGCAGATAGATGCGGCATCTCTGATCGCAGCCTCTGTGATGGCTGCACCCTGCGCCCTTGCCATGTCCAAACTTGTCTACCCTGAAGTGGAAGAGTCCAAGTTCAAGGGCAAAGGAAGCGTCCGCCTCTCCAGTGGGTGAGTGTGAGGACATGGCTGGTGGAGTGGGGCTGCACGCATCCTGCCGTGCAGGGAAACCATGGGGGGAATTTAGGGGCATATGTGGACATTGCGGGTGGCCCGAGGTTGGGAGAGCCTGTGGTGCACAGACGTCCATGGAGCGAGAGCTGACTTTGCACAGAGGATGCACAGCCACGTAAGCCCATCAGGGTCTTCTTCCACGCAGGGAAGAGCAGAACATCCTGGAAGCTGCGAGCAATGGGGCTGCCGCCTCCGTGGGGCTCGTGGCCAACATTGCAGCCAACCTCATTGCCTTCTTGGCAGTACTGGAGTTCATCAACGCTGCCTTGCGCTGGTTTGGGGAGATGGTGGACATCGAGGGGCTCTCCTTCCAGGTATCCCCAAGGACAGCCCCATGGTCTGGGCTGCCAGATCCTGCATGCCCCACCCATCCCCAACTTTGCCTGCTGCCTCGGTTGGCTGCCGAGACCCTTTCGGGGTGTTTGGCAAATGCTGACAGTGGGTGTCCAAGCCAGGGGCTATGCAGATGGACAGTTCTGAGTTTCTCCCTTCTGGGGTGCTTTTCCCAGGTGATTTGCTCCTACGTCCTCATGCCCGTGGCCTTTCTCATGGGGGCAGATTGGGCAGACTCGCCGCTGGTGGCAGAACTCTTGGGGATCAAGATCTTCCTGAATGAGTTTGTGGCGTACCAGCAGCTGGCCACGTACAAGAAGAACCGTCTGTCGGGCCTGGAGGAGTGGAACGGGAGCCAGAAGCAGTGGATATCTGTGAGGGACATCTGCCACCTTGTCAGGCATAGGGCAGGGATGGAGACAGCCGAAACAGGGCATGGGACCTGGCTGGGCAGATGGGTGATGGGCAGGCAAGGGGATGATGGTGTTGGGGTGGGAGGGCACCTATGGCCAACTAGACTTGGATGTCCACTCACTGCTGGCTACAGGGTCATCCTGAAGGAATCGGTGAAGCCCAGTCCCATTTATCCTGCTCCTTGGTGGGGCAGATCATGGTGCTACAGGGCCCCTTGTCCCTCTCCCAGGGACAGACTGCCCACCACCTGCATCCTCGCTCCCAAAAATAGCTGAAGGAGAAAGGATTGGGGTGGGGGACTTATCTCCATCAAGTCTGGCTGGGCTGGGAGCTACAATGTGGTGCTCAGCGCTGGGTGCTCTGGGGCTGCTCCTGGCTGAGGTGACCATCCCCTGCCACTGTGCCCTCCAGGAGCGAGCCGAGAGCATTGCCACCTTTGCCCTCTGTGGATTCGCCAACCTCAGCTCCATCGGGATCATGCTGGGAGGTCTGGGTGAGTGTGACCCAGGTGTCCCCGGTGCCTGGGCATGATGCAGGGGGATCCTGGGCCCAGGGAGCACGGGCTTAGCTGCGACAGGAGGAATTTCCTACCCACCAGCCTCCACATTCGGTCTCTGCCAGCCCAGAGATAAGAAACAGGGTTTGCATGAGGTGATAAGGTATGATTCTGCACTGCGCCCATGGGCAAGAGCACGTGCATGTCCCGCAAGCCCAGGTGCCACCCAGCCATGGGGCAAAGAGCAGAGACTCCAGCGCTGAGAGCACTAAAGGCTCTGATTAATCACCCATGGGTGCGGGGTGGGCCAGCGCTCTGCCTGCACCCACCGCTGCCAGGATGGGCAGACAGCATGCTGGGTGCCCAGTGGGGACTGGGGACGATTCCCTACCTGTCCCCACCCCGGGATAGAGCCAGAGCAAGGATCTGACTCGCCCCGGTCTCTGCTTTGCCCTGCAGCCTCCATGGTACCCCAGCGCAAGAGTGACTTAGCCTCCCTGGTGCTGCGAGCCCTGCTCACTGGCATCTGCGTCTCCATGCTCAACGCCTGCCTGGCAGGTAGGTCCCTGCCCACTGCCAGCGGGGCCAGAAAGAGCCGGGGAGGGACAGGCAAAGGGCCGAAGACCCCTATAAATGCAGGCACAGGGATGGGGACAGCTGGGCTGTCCTCCCCATGGCTCTGTCAGGCCTCCAAGCCCCCTGCTCTCCTCCCATGGCTTTGCAAGGGGCCACCCAAGCCCTGTAGCTCTTCTGCAGCCCCTCATCCACAGCTGGGCTGGGATCGGGACATTTGGGGCACCACAAGGAGTTCCCCGGGGTCACTGCTGCGACTGTCTGGGGGGTGAGGTGGGACGGTGCATGGGACCTGCAAGCACAGTCCCAGGTACAAGATTTGCAAGCATGCTCAGGGGATGGGATTTGCACACACGGTCCCTCAGGACACCTTGTCCCCCAGGTCTGCTTCATGTGCCAACGGAGGTGGGCGACTGCGTGAGCTTCCTCAGCACCGCCAACTTCAGCTCTACCAGCTACACCATGTACATGTGCTGCAAACAGCTCTTTGCCAGGTGGGTGTGAGGGGCCCCAGAGCCGCCCGGGCACCCAGGCGATGGGGCAGCAGCTCGTCCTGACCGCACTTCTCTGCTTCCAGCTCACTCCTCAAGAACGGGACTCTGTCCTTCACGGGAGACTGGGCTGGCGTGGCGGAGAGCGTGCCGTGCCTGATGCAGTGCTGCGG